CCCCCCCCTGGGATTGTTTGGGACGGCTAATGGGGAACTCTCTTTTTTTGGGTCTATTTCCTATCCAATCCTATCGTCTTCCGATGCTTAATTTGCGCGTGATGTCTCGGTCACAGGCACCAGTCAGTGGATCAAAAGGTCCGGCCTTGAACGGCCACTGGGAAGCATTGCTGTGCCATTGGAAGCAGAGGCGACAGAACCCTGGACAGAACTCTTGTTTCAGGGTAAATCCGTCTAGTTACTGTATGGATCGGCACTATCAGGGCCCTGAGGGCCTGAAGGTTTAAAGGCCAGCCACCATGCTCCTCTCGGCTCTCAGGCCAGTTAGTCATCCTTTCTGCTGGTGAAGAAGCGCTTCAGAAGGAGGCCAAACCTTGCATTCTGGTCCAACAACCTTCGCAAGCTCATCACTTTCTTTTGTGGCATGCTTTTGCTCGCTTCTATTCACCACATACTATTTTGGTAAGTTGCTTCAACAGTCAAACTTGCATGAAGCGTATTGGAATTGGAGAGGCCCATAGGAATATATTGGACTCGCCTTGTTGCCTTTGGGAGGTGCAGCCGATGCTGGACATCCTTGGCAAGAGGACCTTCTTCTTGGGCGAGGTGCGCAGAGGGAAAGCCCTATACAGCTCACATGGATGATCATGGATGCATTGAGTAAGGAACATGTCACGGTACCAGTAGCATTTTCCATGATGCTCGATTGAATGGCAGATGTGATGATGTTGGCTGCAGCACATTGGCCTTGAGGCCACAAGCACTAATCATCGCTTAGCGAAATGCAACCATGACTTAGCCTCCTAACAGCCCCATACAGAGCCTAAAGTGAAGAAAGACCTCTATGGTACAGCATTGAACGTGGAAAAAAAGGTTTTCCTCCCTTGAAGGCCTAGGTCGTGCCTCGAGCCTATGTCACTTCAAGAGGAGAATGAGGAGTTGGAGGAGTTGCGTCAAGAGGTGGAAAAGTTGAGGGCTCAGGCGCGAAACCATGACACCTTCGGCGCTGGTCCACCTCCGGGAAGCCGAGACCATCGGCGCTTGCGAAATGCGCAGACGCAAGAGCTGGAGGATTTGACCATGGAAAACAATCAGATGGCAGAGCGGTTGCAAGCCTTGCTGGAAGAGAATGGAAGCCTCAAGAAGCAAGTGGAGCGGCAACAGCAAGAGATCAAGAGTTTGGAGGCGACCGATAAGAGCAAGGTGATTGAAGAGGGCGGACAGAGTCCTCAGAAGAGCAAGCTCAATTTGTTAAAGAGCAAGGTCTCGCTGATGCAGAAACAAATCAAGGAAGACAATGCCCTGGGTAGCATGCTGTCACAGGAGCGAAACCAGAGAGAATCCGTGGAGAGAAACCTGGATTTGCATCGGAAGCGTTTTCTTCTCGATTGTTTTTCTCTCCCCACAAGTAAATGAATAGAGGATGCGCCAAGCAGGCCGATTGTCACTCCATATGTAGAAATCATATGTCAATGTCTTTTTGCTGAAGGCTTAAATCGGACAGCGACTGACATGGCACCCATTCCTTTGCGGCAAAAAAAACACACGCAAGTACTCAGCGATTCCAAGGGGCCAGGGACGACCTCACTGCACGGCTCAAGAGCACCGAAGTCGAGATGGCACGACTCCATGATGAGCTTGCACAGGCCGAAAACCAGAACCGGGTCTATGAGCAAGAGAACAAGGAGTCAACCGAGGGATTTCTTTTACTCGGTCGACAGGCGACAGGTGGTAATTAGGCTCTGCCAGTTCTATGTCCCCAACTTTTCAAATTTGGAATGACATGACAGAGGAAGTCGACTAGTCGTGGAAAAGGCAGCTGTCTTCAGAGGTCGAGTGACCTTCGTTTTCTTTTCCACTCTTGTCGCCCACCGCCTCGCCCCCCGCGTCGCGTTCGAGGACCTCTCTGAGCGGATCGAAGAGCTGCGGATGATCGCGGAGGCGGAGCGGCGTACCAGCTCGCAGAAGCAGGAAGAGCTCAACGAGCAACTGATGATGTTGCAAACACCCTCCAGTGACGTGAACGAAGGTGGTGTGTCCACGAACACTGTGCGGCCCTGGTCATCAAATTTGGCAAGCATACCAGCTTCAACTAGTTTAATATATTTTAAGACTAAGATATATACAGTATAAGCAACATTAAGCGACATCCTGTAAGGTTGCAAGACATTTTCTGCATGTTGGGTGATCAGACCATCGAACCCTGTGAAGGTCACTTCAGCTTTGCCATCCCCGAGCGTGCAAGTCTTCAGCTTGGACAGGATTTGCTAAGCCAATTGCAGACAGTTGAGGATGAGGTGGAGGATGAAACGCCGCCTGTCCTGGATACTAGCAAGGCCAGCAAGACATTGGCGTGCCTGGATGAGTCTGGCACTGTGTCAGCTCCCAGCTCTCCATCCTTGGTTTGCAAAGAGGATGAGCCTGAAAACTCGGGGGACTCTCGAGAACGACTGGCTGAGTTACAAGGTGTGTGTCAACGACTCAAGGAGGAGCTTTCGAGTTGCAAGCAGGAAGTGACCAGTTACAAGGAGAAGGCAGCGGCAGACGCCAGACGAGAGATTTCCTTGCGGGAGCAGCTTGAGGAAGCCAAAGCACAGTCTGACAAGTTAGGATTGTTCATCAAAGAAATGGTGACACGTGAGCCTGAGAAGATTGACTCGGCAGAGACCAGTGCTGAAGATCCGATTCCATTGGAAGTGGAGGGGGGAAAAGCTGAAGCCGACTTCAATCAGAGGTCATCTTCGTCAGGTGTAAAGCTGTTGGGAGCAGAAGGACCAGACGTGGGGACTCCAAAGTCGGAGGCCTCTCGGTTGGCAGAACTCCAAGAGGAGTTGGAGAGGGCCCAGAAAACCTTGAAACTTTGGGCAGCTGAGAGGGAGCAATCTTCCTGGTCCAAACTGATCAACAGCTTTATGTGCACAAGCCGCTAAGCCAACCAGCGTGACCAGCGCATGTGTCATGCGGGCCGTTCAGATGTGTGGGAGCCAATTCCGGAGGCCGATAGGGGCCGCAGCAGGTGTGTCTCAACCTAAGGTTTGACCCACATCCCGGCATCCACATGTTTCTTTTTTGTTTATCATTTTAATCTTCCGTGCATCCGCACCAAAGGTGCCAAAAGGACTTAGCACACGTGGAATCGAAGGAGCAACAAAGGATCTGAGCATCAGAGCAGCTGCCTGTCCCACTGACCAGATTGGAGACACAAACTGACTGAAAAGCTAGGCCAAGCTTCAGACTCAAGTTGTACGGCGTCCGAACGACCTTTCTTTTCCTAACTCCACCCGGGGCTTCTTCCTTTCCAAACAAAACAGGCTGGATGCGGTGCCCGAATGAAGCTGGTGGTGAACATGGCTACTTGGATCACTTGGTGCTCCCGAGTGGAGCATGATTAAGTGTGTTTCGCGTGGAGCAGCAAATGACGGATGGAAAGGATAGTATTCGTAGCACGAGAGGAAGGTGTTTTTGGTCCATAGGGTTTGGGGAGTTGGGGAGTTAGCTCAGACGCACCGAGTCTCATTGTCATATCAAAGGCATAGGTGGATGTGGCCTAGTTGGCCCGGCCGACCAATGTCAACTGACAGTAATTTTCCTCGAAGGGCAGAAGCTCCCCCTTCTTATGGCTTCTCAGGACTCAATTGCCTTTAGATCTCTCTGTCTTCAGCAACTCTAGTGGAGTGGTTTTGACCACTGCAGTCGGTTTCTCGCACGTCCGAGTCGGTGAAACTCATGGAACGCCTCAAAACAACACACGGGGCATGGACGAATCCACCCGGCCGGTGAGGTCATGGGCATCAACATGGTGGCCCTGTGCGAGGGCCTTTCCGCCCGGGCTCCCGTGGTGCGTCGGGAGAGTTTTAACCCGAGCTGGTCGGCTCAAAACCAGACCCTCACGGGCACCAGCCTCTTCTTAGGTTGGAGGCCACCGCTCTTAGGTTGGAGGCCATCGCTCTAGTGTGGATCTGAAGGTGCTGATGCTGCTGCTGCTGCTGGTTCTGGTTTGCTGCTGGTCTATGCTGTTGGATTGTTGGCGTACTATAGCTAATTACTTGTTTTCTGGAAGCATGCTTACGGCATACGAGTCGCTTCGGGCTATGCCTTGTAGACTTTGGCCACAGCATGGTCTGCTGATGGTTTGCTGCTGGTCAGCTACTGGCCTGCTGCGGTTCTGCTTCTGTTCTGTTGCTGATGTGCTGCTGTTCTGCTGCTGGGCTGAAGCCGTTCTGCTGCTGGTCTGCTGCTGTTGTGCTTGCCTCTTATCGCTTTGGCTAGATTTCGACCCCCTCCCATCGCCTCATGTTTTTTATGTCTGAATTTTGGAGTCACTGTAATCAGTCTATATATGGATATATATGGTAGCTAGGATGACACCGGAGTGTTTTACACAAAGTGATTGTGATGTTTATCGGACCCTCACCAGCGTCCCGGCTCCGAGATTGTTTGAGGTTGGGCAAAAGGCTGGCCTGGATGGCAAGGACATCTTGGAGGTGCGACCAGAAAGTGACGAGCAGACGTGGGAAGCAGACCTCCAAGCAGTTGGACACACTGACAGATGCTGTCGTCAGTCTGACTCGGTTGCAAGGTAAAGGGTTTTCCCAGACAGACCTTGTGGCACGTTGACTTGTAGTACACGCGCAGGATGAAGACACTGCCTGGGAGGTCCATTGACAGATTTCGCCAAGCCACTTCACACACTCGTTGGCTGGAGTCCGTTCTTTCCAGCTTAGGTCATCAAGGAGGGTGCCATCGCATCACCCATGTATGGCCTCAAGGTGCAAGACATAAGGGACCTCCATCGGCCGGTACTGATATAAGTTATTATAATATATATTATGAGGATTTATTTTTGGAAAACATTGCCGCACAACAGGGGTTTAGCTGGTTGCGGAACATGCACAACAACGCAGACATGCACTATTTATATATTACGTACTATACTGTAAATATCTATTTTTATGCGTATGATACATAAGTGCGTGACATTCGGAATCTATAGTCTACTTTGATCCTTTCTGCGAATGAGACCAACGCTTTTTGGCTTTGGCATCAGCTTTTGTTCAAGCAGAGTATACAGTGTTCGCGCTAGTTTTCTAAGCAAAGGGCTTGGCAGACTTTGGCAAAGGCATGGCCTCTCTTGCAAATGCTGTGCTTGTGGACACTTTGGAGCAATGTCAAGATGCAGTTGCCCAGTTGTCCCAGGACCGAATAGTCATAGTGGAGATCAGATGCTATCTTTAGTTGATTCCATCAATCATTCCATTGCATTGAAGCCATGTTGTCAGCATTTTGAGGAGACTGAGGTGGCCATTGACATTGAAGGAGTTGAATTGAGCCGAGCAGGCGAAGTTTGCTTGATTCAGATCTGTGGCCCCTCGAGCGACAAGGTCTTTCTGTTTGACATCCACACACTGAAGGACCGAAGGAGTTGATCAGTGTTTCAAGAATTTGCCGCGGAATTTACTGTAAATCCCAAGCTCTCAGAGCCCCTCAAAACCTCAAAGAACCCCCTGAAAACACTCTGGGCAGCCTGCCATGTGGGTCAAGACTTTCATTCCGCCACAGGGTAGCAGACTCTTCAAAATGCCATGATTGACATGCAATTTTGCACGACAATACGGACGCATCTGTGAGGACAAAGCCTTTGAAGAGGGGGGCTTGAAGAAGTTGCTGGAGTCTGATGTGATAAAGGTGTTTTATGATTTGCGCACAGACAATGATGCTTTGCACCACTTACATCAAGTTCATGTGCGAGCTTCTTACGATCTGCAAGTCTTGCGCCAGCTGAAGTTTCAGGATTCCACAGACATCTACCTACATGGGCTGAAGAGAGTACTCGCAGGTTTCCTTAAGGAGTCCAACTGTTTGACTGAGGAGCAAGTTCACAAGGTAGATGCCGTGAAAGAACAAGGGCACGAGCTTTTTACCCCGGAGAATGGTGGAACTCAACTATGGAAGGAACGGCCGCTGAGACCCATTCTGGTGGACTACGCTGCCATCGATGTACAGTTCTTATTGCACATGAAGCGTTTGTGGACCCCGAACGATCCAGCGGAAGCAGCGCAACTCCATCAGGACGTCATGAAGGCTAGCGAACATCGCTTAAAGTGTTTTGTAGCTTTGCCGCAGGAGGACGCACTGAATCAATCTGCTAAGAAGCTCAGGGATTTCTACGAAGCCAGCGACACATCGCGTATCCTTCATGTGCCAAGTCACAAGAAAGGCGCTTTGATTGGCAAGAAGGGGGCCAACATCGAAGCAATCCAGGCCAAGTCAGGTGCAAAGGCACCTTTGCTGCAAAAAAGCGGGACTTGACCAGCCCGTGTATGATAGCGTATAAACATATCTGCAGGTAATCCAGTTTTTCAGGGCTAGATTCACCAACTGAAGGTTGTATTTAACAATATTTCCCAGATGCTTGATTTTTTGAGTTCAGATATTTCAATTCCATGGTCCCTTGGCTGGTGGACTTGGAACCATCAAAGGTTTGCCTAAAAGATGACGTTGCGCTGGTGATTGGACTACCTCAGCAAGTGGAAGCCGCAGTGCAGCTGATCCTTCCAAAGATTGCCTCCCGCTGATGTAATTGAAAAGACTACCTTTGAGGTGACGAAAAGGATGTCCATGGATGATCCTTGTTGTATGTTCGAGTCCCACCCAGACGAATTGCTTCGCTGCCCGAAATCTGGAGCGCATTCGGAGAGGAAAGTGGCACCTATGGCTTCGCCCGATGGGAGAAGCCATCGGATCCTGCACCTCGCTATCAGTTCGGTACTGCAGGTCACTCGTTGTTGAGGGGCCAACATACTGCAACCACTATTTAGGAACATGTTCACAGGATTTTTCCAGGGCTTAGAATTTCGTTGGAGTTCTTTGGGGAGTCCTAGACTTGGAAGGACGGCCTGCTATGAATCCAAACAGCTTTTTCCCAGTATATAGCTAGTGACTTTTTGAAAACTCTTGTCATGAATCCCCAAACTGTATAACGACTATTCCAGAAACTAACAATGACTATGTAAAACAAACATGTATAACCACTGCTGCCCACATCTTCCAGTCGGTGGTTGACAGAAAAGGGTCCAGCATCTTGATCTCAGCCAAGACTGGCCTGACCGGCCCGGCCGTAGCGCAGGGCCCCCTGATGCTGGAGGGCAACTTTGCTCCGGCCTTTCCATTGAAACACCAGCAGAAGGAGTGTCAAGAGCAAAGACTTGGATTTCGGATGATTTTGGTAGAACATTGATTAGCTTTGATGAGGTGTGCTCTAATCCTTTCAGTCTGGGACGTGCTTGGTTGGGTTTGATCCTTAGATATTCTTAGTAAGGTCCGGTGTGGGATCCACTTCGGCAGAAGCGAGATTCCATTAATGTGAAAGCCCTCGTAGCGAAGAGAGTTTGTGCTTGACGTGTTGTCCAACCCCCCGCAACCATCTGCTAGAGTACACGGCAAATGCCAAGTCAGCTAGCTTTAGTAGCTTCTTGTTACTAGTAGTAAGGCCAAGAGCTACTAGTAGTCAGCTAGCTCTTGACAGGATCTTGTTGACTGCTTTCGCATGCCATACCGTCGTGTACGTGCCAGGATGTCCGCTTGGCGGTGGACATGGGTGACAAAGTGGGTCAGCGTGGTTCTCGTTCTCCGTCGTTGTCAGTGGGTCAGCTGCACATGTTGTCGTCGAATGCATCCATGTCCCCAAGGTCCATGCCTTTAGCTGCTGCTTGCAACGAGGCCTTCAAGGTGTGCTCTTTCGAAAAGCGGCCACTGTCAGCTCTGTCCGACTTTCGGTTCTCTGCAGTTCGTCATTGAAGTGTTGCAATAGTGTTGCACTTGCAACGTCATGGTACTGTTTGCAGAAAGGGAACACGGTATTTCGGCTGCGTAGACTGCAGTGACTGCACCAGGTATTTCGTCCGATCACAGACACGAATCACACGGATGAGGCTGCCCGTGCCGCTGGCAAGGGTGACGAGGACTTCAGCGCTGTCTACTCGACCGTCCCTTGGAAGAATCGAAGAAACGAGACGCAGACGCTCGATGAGAGAACTCTCAAACTATAAAACCAACTGAAACGTGTAGGTCAACAGAATTTTTGCTACTGAACGCTACAAAAGCTGTAGGCAACAGCTTAAACTGTGTCGATCAACTAAGTTGGGATATGTTCGGATCATTTGTTCAGAATCCTTTAAAATGGGTTGGTCAGCCGCTGTTCAGAATCTGTGTAAGTGGTGATCAGGTGAAGCATTGAGCTGCTCACGGAGATTGAGATAGATGGAATTCATTTTAGGTCATCAACTCTACTCGGATTGGGCTGTGCATTTCCCTGAGCTCAGTGCATCATCGCTTCCGAGGGGGCAGCACAGAGTTTGCCATACTAGTAACCAGTCTCAGTCGCTCCAACACCCAATGCTTTGTGCATCAACTCAGTGAATGGACTGGCCTAACCCGAGAGGATCAAGCCATTTTGGACGCGGCCAGAGCTTTGCGATGGCATCTCCCCAATTTTGCACCACCCCAGGAAGGTGAATCCCTGCTAATTAGGTAGGATATGGAATATGCTCAGAGTCTTTAAGAGATAATAAAAAGAAAGAAGTCATATCCAGCTACCTTGGTGAAGTGGTTCACTGCGGCCCCTGGGGTGAAGACGTTTCCACACCGGGAGGGGGGTTTCCAGGAACCGATTCGCTTTTGGATGCAGGAACCGATTCGAAGCGAGATTCGGGTGCTGCAGAAAAGGTCGATTTACAAAAAAGACGTGGCTTTACGTGTATGATGACTGAGCAGTAAAATGCAGAGAAGAACAATTGCAGTGATGAATCACTGTTTTGCTTATATTGATTGACTCAAATCGAATCACAATGCTCAGACAGGCGCCTGACAGATTTTCCACAGTCTTGTGTGTCACTCAAAGCGTTCTTGCCGATTTGGAATCAGACGGATTACTCTATTTCTGTTGACACTGAATTCAGGCTCTAGGATTTTGAGCATTCAAGTGGCGTGTGAGATGTCAAGACTGGGCCACAAGAAAGATTTTTATTACAAGGTGGTAAAAGGTAACACCTAAGCTCCGTCTACTACTTGCCACCCTTAATAACGCAAGACGAAGTGCACTGAGTTCGTTACAAGGCCAGTTGATGTGGTGCGTCTCGATGCATTTGCGTGGTGTGAGATGGATTCTACTCGGGAAAGGTAATAGGTTCAGATGACGTTCAAGCTGTCATGCTCCGATGTTTCAACGTGTATGCAAAGATGTTGCAAATTCATATTTCCAAATGTTTTAGATAAAGGCACTTGTTGGGTTTGCGCAAAGATGTTTACTACCGGCCCTGAACAGACAGGGAAAAGCAGGGATACTCAGTTCTCTGAAAGTGCTTGAAAGTTCTTAGCCGATCTTCTGACTGACGAACACCTTTGTTCACCATAATTGAAAGGTTTTGACCGCCACTTGAGACTTGGGAATTGAACTGAATTTAACAGGAAATGGAAATGTCTCAATTATGAAAACATATAGTATATTAGGTTGGAGGCCATCGCTAGTAGGTTGGAGGCCATCGCTATTAGGGGGGAGCAGGCTTGTCAGATCTCGTCACCTTTCTGCTGCCAGCCCTCTCAGCCACCTTCGCTCCTTTGCACCCCTTCGCTCCTGCGTTGAAAGCGCCATGCGTGAGCTTGTGCATGTCCAGGGAGGCGGGAATGGGATGGAAGGAAGCACTATTGATCCAAAGCCAGCTTTCAGAAGCAGCAAACTTTCTGGGGTATGGCTAGGCTTGATGTGGCTCTGAGCATGTCTCAAGTGTGTGAGAACGTTGTGGAGTCAATGGGCGTGTCTCGCTACTTACTACTGCTTCTATCGATGTCTCATGATTTCGAACAATGTTTTTGGCTTTTGTTTTTTTGGTGCCATTGTATTTACTATATGTATTTACTGGTATCCAGTGGCACTGCAGCAGTTTTTGTAACACCGGAGGACCTAGAATGACACGACTAGACAGCTAACTTACCCACAAACACATGCGGCACCCCCAGGTCAGTGCGGCAACCAGATTGGAGCCAAGTTCTGGGAGGTCATTGCGGATGAACACGGCATTGACCCCACTGGACGCTGGTCAGAATGTTGGGTAGGTCTTATGAAGTCATTCTGAAAGACAAACTATGGACAGACTATTCATCTCTATCCGCACACAAATCCAAAGACCCCACCATAGGATTGCCCGTTGTGTCAGGAACATATCATGGAGACTCCGACCTGCAGCTCGAATCTTGACTGATTCTGTTTGCTTTTGCTTGGGGCCGGCTTGCACTACTTTATGATCCTTCAATTTGTTTGCAAACCGGATGGCGAACCTATTTAGCGTTCGTGCATTCTACCTGGTGTGCATTTCCTTTTTGGCCGGAGAGTTCTACTGTCCTTTTGCCTGTGCAGCTTTCTTCCCACCTGGTTTGCGTAAATTATCATCCTCCTTCAGTGGTAGCCACATGGTTGCTGGAGATTGGGATCTCTCATGTTTGATCACGTTTGTAGTGTAGCTCGGTGCAGCTCGGCAGCGTTCATAGCTTCTTGTCACTAGCAAGAATGCTCCGTTCGTAGCGATGCCAGGAGCGCCGTTCGTAGCGTCCAATCGCTCCAGATGGGGCGTTTCCAAGGGGAGCATGACTCAAGGGCGTCGTTTCCACTTCGCACGGATTGCATGAGAGCTGTCATTGCCAACAGGAACCACGTCGCCTGAATGAGAGCAAAATGGGGGCACGGCTCCCCCCCCGTAATTCAGACTGGGATCCTTTTCAAAAATGGTCACGCGCTACAACAGACAAAAACAACGCTTTGATACGTCCTCCTCTTTTTCCTGGTTCGTCTGTGCATCATGATTACCACTGCTGAGTCCCACAATCCTTATAAACCGTGGGCCAAGTGCAACAGCCGCGGCTGAACTTCCAGCACGGACAGAAAGCGTTTGCTTCCTCTCATGTGTGACGCGGCTTGGCCGGCATATCACGCTGCACTGCCTGCTGTGGCATGAGAACTGTTTGGTTTTTCTGCCTGTCCCGCTCAAATGCTCCACATAGTAAAGATAACTGTCAAAACCTTCTTGATCCATTAATCCAGTTCACCTATTAAAAAACACGGCCTCCCTATTAAGAGAAACTCGGTCGCATTTTTGTTTAAGTAGGGGGCCCCTGAAATCGGGGGGGTCCAAAATAGGGTCACCTGGGAAGAGCTTCAAACCAAAAAGTCATCCAGAAAAAGTTTATATAAAATCCTTTATTAAACTCGTATCAAAATTCACAAAAACTCCAGATCGGGTGGTCTTCCTTTTCCCCTACAAAAACCTTCATTAGAATACTGGTTCTTCATTAGACTAACAACCAAAGCTTTCGAAAGGTGATGCCGCTGTGCCATGCGGTTTTGCACGACCTCGGTGGCAAGTGCGTTTGCGCGAGTCCGTGCCATTGGAGGAAGGAAAACCTGCTGGTGTAAACGCGGCGTGTCATGGTGGATACCCAGGGCGGACAGATGTGGGCAGTTACGGTTGTTTTTGGAACCTAGTAAAATGTCAATAGCAGTGGGACGATAGCATACCCTGTCATAGCCTATGCATGTACAGCATACATCAGCGTGTCACGCCAACTCTTTGGCTCAAGACTCCCGTAGTTCAAGCGGAAAAGAAGTGCGCGCCATTGCTGACTACAAGGGAGAGGATAGTCTACTCATACTTCCCGCTGAGCAGATGAATATCCACACGCAGGTTATCAGCCGTAGCCGCGCCAAGGTTACGAGCTTTGTGAGACCAATATTACAGCCAAAGACTTGAGTCACTATGTCGAGCTCAGGAGGAAAGAGCAGTGGACAATTCTCCTTCGCAGCTCCAGGAGGAAACGCATCGCAATCTTCACCAGGTTCAATCACCGGTACTAGTTCTGCCTGATGCTGCCACAGTGATTACTATGCCATCTACATCGTTAATTTCAGGTGAAGGAGGGATCGCTCCACGAGAGACGACCTCCGCCGGATCCGATGTTTGAATGGGCAACGCAAGAAGAATTATGAATAGATTTGCGAGATCTACATCGCCAAGGACTACAACGAGAAGATCACCAAAGAGAGATATCGAAAAGGTAGAAATTGAAGATGCCAAAGAATATGGAGAGAGATCCAACTCCTTGAAGAATTACGATCAGCAAGAGTATCCTACCAACACTTGAACGACGAATACAGCTATTTGCATGATGGATATACCAGACTCTATGCTGAATCGGAAGAGGAATCTTCGCACATGACAAAGTGCAATATGGCAATGAACACTCACCTACAAGAAATGATGCAAGAGGATGAAGGTGCAACTATACGAATCGAAGAACTTGAGAAGAAACTCAGGCTTGCCGAATGTTTAGCAGATCACATCTAAACAAGGTACGAGAAAGTCGCTTATGAGAATCATGAAGAACACTCCCAAATCGGCGAAGTGACCTCCAAGATGGAAGACATGACCGTGAAATGCAATGTGCCTTCAGATACATCCAAGAGCAGAACCAGATCTCTGACAGCTACACCAAAAGGGCTCAACATCTCACTGAAGAGAACAAAGCGACGATGAGCGTCGCCGACGAATTGCAGATGAAGATGTTGATGCTACAGGACGAGAACAGCAATCTGTTAGAGATAGCTCAGAGAGAAACGGAGAAGCAATGGAAGAGTGAAATGCGCCGCATGGTGCTGACCAACGAGGCTGCTGCGAGCACTGATCATCGATACCAAGAGAAGAGAGCGGTAGAACATCTTCGTGGTCAACTGGCAACCGTCAAGGGATCAGGGATGAGTCTTGCAGAGACGAGTAATCTCGATCTTGAACAAGAGACTGAGATACAGGCATACAGACTGGAAGTCAACGAGAAGGAGATGCGGGCACAACAGTTTCAGTATGTAGCAAGAGTGATGGCAGAGGCAACGAAAACATTGGAAGACGCTGCTGTCAACATACAATCACAAGCGAAAGATGAGCATCGTCAGATCAGAGAAGCCAATCTTGCCCCCACCGAAGCCAACAAAATACTGAGAAGAGAGAATTTGTTGGGAACATCAGCGATCGATGGTAGAGAAAGGATAGTTCTTGACGAGAAATTCCAGGAACTCGAAGACTCGAAGAGAACCACAAAGTCGCTGAAAAGAAATTATCAGAAATGAGGATTGAGAATGCGAACATGAAAGCCGAGATGCATCATGGATACACCAGAGATGAACATCGAGAAGGACGAGGGCGACCAGCCACTCGACTTGATGAGGAGACCCAATCGCGCTTAGAAGAAGCAGAAGACCTGAGACATGAGGAAAATGAAGTGAGCAGGTTGAGGAAAGCGCGTGATGAGGCTTATAACTGGTATTTGGAAGCATTTGAATGCTATGAGGAAGGGGTTGAAGAGAAGAAAGAGATCGAATGCGGGAATGCGGAGCTCGTCAGGATCTGGATCATCGATGGCTTCTTTGATCCAATCAATCCATGGTTGCTGGTCTGAGTCATTTGCTGCGATGACGATTGCCTGTATCAAGTTGGCTTTCCATAGACCTAAGTCATTGACTTTCGGCCATGGTGGGACATTCACCTTGGATTCTTCTTTTCTTGATATCTTGGTCGCATATGCTGATGCGGCTTCCGATGGATTCAGGCGACGCGAGGTTCCATTCCATCGATGCAAAGTTAGGCCTAGCGTTGACCAAAGTCGTTGCGGAGTCCAAAGAAGAAGGGAACAATGTTGCTATATGAAACTGAGAACTCGTATCAATGCAAAAGGGGACCTCTACCCATATCAAAGGAAGAGAGATCCTTGCTTTGATGACTTCTCAACTTCAAGAAGACGACCTCCAACGTTGAAGTGCTGTACACATCTATGCACTTGTATCAGTTTGAGTTTGAGTATGAGGGAGACAGGAATTTATCACTTTTCATACACACATGGGACGAGATCTTAGCGGGAATGAAACCAGCTGACATCCCAAGCGACGAAACGCTCCGTGATCTCTTGTACAGGAAGGTGAAAAATTCAAACCTGATGTCGTACGATATACATATGTACAACAGCCTCATGCAATGAAGGAGATCCCAAGAAGACGTATCAAACACTCCGTGACATGATTCAAACGCACATTGAAAGGCGAACCGAGGTCGGGTGCTCCTTGAGAAGGAGAAGGCCGTCAAGAATGTGGCCAACATATTTCAGAGTCTCAAGCCCAGTGGTCCAGCGCCTAAGGCCAAGGCCACACCTGCGCCCAACGATTTAATAAACCGAAACCCAAACCATCCGGGGCAGTGGGGGACACAGAAGAAGCAACTCCTGTCAAGCCAACTCCCAATCCGAAAAGACATCCTGAAGACAAGAAAGGGAAAGGAAAGGGAGATGGCAAAGACCGAGGAAGAAGTACCAGTGTAGACAAGAAGAAGATTCCGTGCAAATTCTTTGCCAAAGGGAAGTGCAACAGCGGAAAAGGGTGTCCATATAGTCACAAGAGGACAAGAACTCCTTCAAGAGGTCCATCGCCCAAAGGTGAAGGAAAGGTTGCTGGAGGAACTGGATTCGAGGGAAATGCCCCAAGGGAAAAGAATGCAATTTTATCATGATCCTAAAGCAGCACCCAAGAAGGGTACGTCCGCAGCTGCAGGTTCAGGAGAGGACAAGCCCAAACCGAAGCCTACACCAAAGCCGAAGCCCAAAGGAAAGCCAAGCGCTCTGGTGGTGGGACATTTATCCTTCTTGGAAGAGTCTGATGATGAGGGAATCGCAGCAAGCGTGAAGATGAACACCGTGAAAGAGAAGAAAGTGTCATTCAACGACGACGTCGATGACATCATCTTCAACAAGGCTGTGTATTCCATCAGAGACATTTGGAAACCCGTGATCAGGAAACCGTTGAGACCAGACATCAAGAGGTACGAAACTAGGGAGGTCACTGACCAATCCCATCGAGAACAAAACCGTTTTGATGCAAAAGTAGCGGAAGCAAGAGCCATCCTCATGGTGCCATACACCAGCATCAAGGAAGTACATATCCCACTTGGCCCAAACGGAGACATTGCTATCACAATGAGGTTTGATGAAGAGGATGGCTTGGTGTACGATCGCAAGCTCATCCCTCACGTTTGTGGCAAACATGGAATAAGAGGTGAAGTGCAAACATTGTCAGTACCTGCAAAAGGATCAAGAGCGAAATTCATCATGGATAGTGGACATGATTGAATCTCAAAGAATAGAGCCAAGAAATGGGAC